AGTGTATGTTCGATAGGGTTGTCAATGAATTGAGCCTATCCAATGGACCCGAACTAATTGAAGCGATTAGTTTTGGTTTCATGATTTTGTCCTGATTAATTTGGGTTGGTTCCATGTCTTGTCAATCAATTATTTTATTTATATATATATATATAACACTTTTCTATTTTTCTTAAAATTTTAATCATATTTTAAGCTTGAAATGATAAATTTGATAAATAATGAATAAGGTAATAATATTAAAATATTTAATTTATTAACATATAAATATGTAGTTTAATATTTTTATTACTTTTATTAAAATTTTATATTATTATTTAAATATATATATATATATATGATTTTTAGTATAATCGAGCCTATCGAGCCCAAACTGTTTAGATTCAATTGGTCGAGATAACGTAGTTGCATGATCTGGTTTGATGATAACCCGTCACGTTATGTACTTTGGAATTAGCTGCCCTAAAGGTGATTCAAAACCAAACCATGCATGCCCGATTTTTTTTCCAAGCCCAGTAAATAGTAATTCATACAAAGCCCTACGTTCAAGTAGATTACTGGTTGGTGATTGGCAGTAACATGATAAGCATGTAACTCCATGATCTTGCATCTATCTTTTTTCTCCTTTTCTTAATTTTTATTTTTTTTATTTTAAATAATTCCATGCAATGTATAAACCGCAAGGGAAATTTTCGTGTTTAGCAAGTGAAACTTCAATCAATCTTGAGAATAGGGTAATGGAGACTTTTAATCAATCATTTAATGTGAATATTAAATGACCAATTTTTAAAATTCCCTTGATGTGCTGGTTGTTTTTAACTTATAATTACTTATAATTTAAAGACGTTGGGTGTGTTTATTGGGTTTTGTGTAATATGTGGGTGTTACTTTTTATAATTCCTTAAGGGTTGTATTAGGCATACTAATAATTATTTTTTGTAGTACAAGGATAATTTATTACTCAGATATAGTTTGCATTAATAAAAACATAATATGATAATTGTTTTATTTTAACCAAAGTATATAATTAACTAAACTTAATAGCTTAATTAATCTTAGCTAATTGATAATATAATGTGAATTATCAAAAAAATTTTAGTAAAATTAAATTTAAACAATATTGTTAATTTTAAAATTAATATTTATTATTTTAAAATTCAATTAGCAATAGGGTGATCATTTTCACTTTTTAATGTGGCACATGCCTAGGCTTGTATTACCACAACAAACTGCAAGGTTGGGCTTGGGCCCAACACTTCACACCTGGCCCAAGCCCCTTATGGCTCGTATATATTTATATTATATATGCATACTTATAGTACACATAATATATTAATATAAGATATTTTATATTACAAAATAATTTTTATATACATATTATATGACATATAATACAATATATATATCATATAATATAAATATGATATTATAGTACATATAATATAAGATATTCACTATTTTATAATAAAATTCATAGGTTTGGAATTAAGCATGACCCTATTCAAGCATAGGCCATAACCCTTATTACAATTGCTAAGCCTAGGTGTGGCTCATGTAGGACTAGCTATGGGTTTATATTTTTAGCCTAGAACCCAGGTCGGGCCTGAGCTTTGGCCAAAGCCTTATCACATGAGCTAAGCCTATCATGGGGCCAACTTGGCTACACCCATGATCATCACTTAGCTTGTGTTTATTTTAATTCTAATTAATACAATGTTATTAATAAAACAAAACAAATCTTAGTAAGAAATTACTATTTTTGAAATAAATTTTTATAATTTAATATCCAATAGTATTGCATTTAAAAAACTAATGATAAAATCAATAAACTAAAAATTATAATTAATAAAAATAATAAATATATTTTATTAAAACTAATTTAATGTAGCCATTAGAAATTCTAACATAAAATAATAAAAGTTAGTAAAAATTAATAAAACTAAATACTACTATAAATTTATTAATAAAATTAATGATGTAAGAAAAATTATATTTTTAAATTAACAAAAAAATAATAATTTTAAAAATAATTTATCCAACAATACATAATCAAAAAATAATCTTTGCATTGGACTCAATCTCACTTGAGACTTGACCCAATTGGGAATGGTGCAAGGCTCCTTTTGACACAATTACTTTTAACAAAGTTATCACGGATTGTTATACCTTATTAAATGTGAAAGTACAGTTAGTGATAAGCAAACCAATGAAAAGTAAGACGTCCTTAAAGTAATTAGTTGACATTTGAATTTAGCATGTAACCAATAACAATGAATGCACCATAGTTGAACCATGACAATATGAATCACTTTCATTATTATCCAAGAAGCTAGGGTTGTAATCAGATCGGATCCAGCAAAATTCAAATCCAATATGATTTGTGCATGTGAGAAAAACCCGACAATTTATCATCAGGATTTTTGTTTTTTCTCATCGTTCTTTAAAAGTTTCATTCGCTGAATATAGAGGCTGAGGAGGAAGATGAGCAACAATGTTCATTGCCCTTTTTTGATATTTTTCCAAAAAAATTATCCCATTTTAGTTATTATATAAAAACATTATTTTTATTGATATTAAGGGAAAAAATTGCCCTTCTCTGCTAAAAACCCTAATGTATTTGGATTAACTGAACGCTTTGACTGTTCAGCGGGCTGTGGAACTAATGATAAAATTCTACACATTAGTTGCACAGCCCTCTAAACAGCCAAAACATTCAGCTAAACCTTGGTCATAATCATGCCTCCAACGGCCAAGGTATTAAATTTTGAAAATTCATTTGTTTTGGAACCTTAAGTTCTGTTTGCTTACGATGCAAATTTTATTTGTATTGAGGTAAATGCATGAGTACAAATAGGTTGAGAGGGGAAACTTCTGGGTTACCATTTCTTCAAGTTGGACCTTGTTTTTTTTAATTGTTTGCTTGAAGAATAAGGTGGGAAATAAAATGATGTGATTCCCATTTCTCATTTAATATGTGAGCCAATTAAACTAGGAGGAAGGTGGTGCAAATTTTATATTGCCATTTGCCAATGAATGCAAATTAAACAAAGTCTGTATTTATTTGTGATACAAAAGTTACAAACACCGAATCGTAGGAGCACATCTGTTAAGGTTTGTGTCCACTTATTTGATTCACAAATTTCCCTTGAAAAGGCTGCAAATGTGCATCCAAATTTGTACTTCTCCCCCCCCAAAGATGAAGAAAAAGAAAATATAAATACAGATGCCACTGGCCGAACCTGATTAGCACTAATGGTCATGGTTGTTACACCTATTTGCATTCATTACCATACATTAGTGCATAAGTACCTTTCACCACAAACACTGCCAAAAGTGCAACATTTGTGTTAGACATAAGTGCAAATTATTGTCACAACAAAATGGAATGCAAAACTTATACCTAGTTCCGTTTAATATTACAAACCCGTATTTTTAAACTGTTGTTGACCCATACAGTCAGACTGTTTGGCCTGTGAACCATCTAGACAATTGGTAAAATTAGTGACTAAAATGGTTCCAATATCAGGTTGGATTTTAAATTAAAACATTGTTACAAACAAATAAAACCTTCCAAAAAATGCATGGTTTTGTTTTTTTGAAAACAATAACAACAGCCAACCCTCGTTTCCTCCTTTGGTGAATTGGTGATTACAGTAGCAGGTTCAAACCCAAACTTCATGCCTAAACCTTCAACCTGTGCATCTCCCGTCGCAGCAACAAGCCAGTGGTAATCTCACTCCACCCTGTCTGTCTCCTAAATTGTCTATGTTAATCACCCTAATGGATCTTTCCATGATTCATTACTTTTATTACCTGGGCCAAACCTTTAAGTTATTTATTTGGGTAAATGCATTTATCTGAATAAATGTTTTTTGAAAAACACTTATTTCAATAAGTTTGTTCATCAATAATTTTTTTATTAAGTAAAGTTGTGCAATAACCATTTTATCAAAAAAATTAACATTATTAAAAGTATAATATTATCCCATTAAGTATTAACAATTTTCCTTGTATAAGTAGGTAATTGATTTATCTAAGTCTTAAGAGGGTGTTATTTACCTGCTACTCAAAAATTATTAGAATATACCACTTAAATATGAACATGATTTTATTTATTTTCCATGGAATCCACCAACTTTTCCGCCCTAGCTTCTTAGAAATCGACCAAGCCTTAATAAGTTTAGAATCCCATGTACATACGAGAGTTCACAGATAATAAGACTTAGGCCAGAGTGACTTATGCAGCTGAGGCCATGTTTAGTCCATTGCTTTGGGTCTCATTCTCTTAATTCATGTTCATTCTAGGCAAGAATGGGCAAAAATGAATAACATCATAGTATTTGATTACAAAATTATTATCAAGGGCCACATTCTTTTTAGAATGAAAAATCAGTCTATAGCACAAAAATTGATTAACATGAAGCATGAAAAATAATAATGCTCCATCTTGCTCATTTCATTCTTTCTACCAAAAAATACCACTGCATTCGTTCTCAGCTTCACTCCACGCCATTTTCTCTTCTTTTATTTCTTTCCTTTCGTTACATCAGCTGGTGTATAGGAACCCAATTACCTTCTAATTTGGCTTGATAATTCCACTAGTGCTGGGTCACCCTCCTTACTTTCTTGATGAAATATGATCGTCAAGACTGAATATGAACACCAACACCAAATGTTTGGAGGTCAAGTGCGAGGAGGTCCCACCTACGGGAATAAATAATACAGAATGATCATCAAATCTCACATGCATTTCGGATAGCAGCGGTTGTTGGAGAAAAGACCATATAAAAAAGAAGGTTTAGGTGATAGGTTTCCATCTGAACAACAATTTGGTGAAATGCAGCAGTCCGACTCAATGCTTTCTTTAACTTAAAGGCCGCACCAAGTTGAGCAATGGACCAATGGCACCCAGGAGGAAACGGGTCAGCTCTCACCTAATGTCTAATGATTTATTTTGCCACCTAAGTGCTCGATAATATAGACGTTTGAGCTCGTCGATACTCAATACCACTCGTAGGTCGTAGCTCCGTTGGCTGCTGCACTTTCTGTGATACAGCTCTTACTCACTCTCTCACGTTTGAAATATAAAATCTAATGTTATGTTTTATGCGGTTGGAAGTCGCCAACTCCTTGTTGCAATAGCTGACAAGGAGTTGAGATACCGGATTATAACAAGCGGAAACACGACAGTGCATCGCCGGAAATTCTGGGTTCCGGTCTTAGTTCCGGGCGGTGTGCCTTGGCTTTGTTCTGATTTAGACAGATGGGTTCGTCGGAAAGATCCAAGAAAAGTGTTCAGATGTGGAAGAAGGCCGTGTTCCATTTCTTGTTGTGTTTCGTTACTGGATTCTTCACGGGTTTCTTTCCCATCGGCAGAACTTCCACTTTCTGGGGTAGCTTTGCGTGGAACCAAACAGTGGAGCGTCGAGAACTTTCGCCTCAACCGATAGAGATGTTGCATCAATTGACAAAGGCTAGGAACTTCGATAAGAGCCTAATGAGTGAAACCCAGGTGGCGGTTCCTACTGGTTCCGGAGATTCTGAGGAGACATCTCTGGTGGAGGAAGATGAAGCAGAATTGGTTCCACGGAAGCTTTTGATTCTTATAACACCGACAAGATCAAAGGATCCTACTCAAGGTGCCTTTCTGACGAAAATGGCTAACACATTGAAATTGGTTCCTCCTCCCCTTCTTTGGATTGTTGTGGAAGCCCAGACCGATTCCTCGGGATTCTCAGAGATGCTGAGGAAAACTGGAATAATGTACCAGCATTTGGTTTTCAAGGAGAATTTCACAGACCCAGATGCAGAGCTGGACCATCAGAGGAACGTCGCGCTCAATCACATTGAGCACCATCGTTTAAATGGAATCGTTCACTTTGCCGCAGCTTTCAATGTCTACGATCTTGATTTCTTCCAGGAGATCAGAGGAATCGAGTATGAAATCCCTTTCCTTCCACTCTATATTTCTATAAAATATCTTCATATTTTATTAGTTTCCATTATTCGTGCAGAAGAGAAATGACGAAATCACCTCCAAACGCCCGACTCCAGAGTACTACCACCCCTACCTTGAACAGGACACACAAAGAACTGAAATTCAAATCGAATTGTTTATGGGTCTCAACTCTCATGACGTCTTATGATCCTAACGATATGATTAAGCCCATGAATTTTTTTTTTTTTTGGGAAATCCAATTCACCCTTCAGAGTTGGGTTCTTGTTTTTGGCTTCGTTTTCAGAGCTGGGTTCTGCTGTAAACATATTCTGCAAGCCAACCCTGTTTTGCCTGTCAGCGTTGCACAGCCATTACATATGTTTACTGCAGATTTAGATACTGCAGCTCATCGTGTTAGTGTTAGGCATTAATTTTGGTCGGCCTCTTAGCTCTTAGGTTGGATTGGTTGATATATTATATCTACTGGTATGGGTGGAGAGTACGTAGCAGTTTAAATATTAAGAGACTTTAGTATTATTATATGATTGTAATTTATAAATTAGTTAGTGCAGTTGTTAAGGACGATTAGCAGGAAATGGAACATAAAATATTATCTGATTTCTGACAACCATGAAAAGTAGGAAACCCATTATTACAAGTATGACGATTATTGTGATAAAGCCTTCCTAAGGAAGAATATTATTATTGTTGGGGAGGTAGTTGCCCTTTTATATCATAAAAACAGTTCAGTTTGAAATTGATGGTCTTATTTGGGAGGGTTGAACTGAATATTTAATTAAGCTGGTCCAGTCAAAGTTCTAAATATCGATATAAGCTGATACGCCCTGAAATAAGTTACTCATAAAAACTGAAGCGGATAGTCCTTTAATAGCCAATTTGGCTCTCTGGATTTTTCATCAAATATAGCTTATAGGCTGTCCATGTGAGGCCCACCTTAAACAGCCAGAATGTGCAGCACTTCATCCCTCCCAAAAGCGCACATGGCAACCTTGTGATTAGTGATTAAAGCTGTAGCTTTTGACAACTCAACAATTAAGTGAATTAACCCTAATTCCACCTTAATTGCAGGGCCTTTGGGACATGGCCAGTAGCTTTTGTTTCTGCAAATAAGAAGAGGATTGTGGTTGAAGGACCTGTTTGCGACTCCTCTCAAGTTATAGGGTGGCATTCAAGGAGAGTGAACAAACAGATGGACATGGCGCCTTCAATTCATATTTCAAGCTTCGCTTTTAACACTTCTATTCTCTGGGATCCTGAGAGATGGGGGCGTACTCCTTCCCTTCAAGATAGCTCACAGTCAGAGGTTAGTAGTTTAAGATACATACTAGCAAGTTTCAAAAACCATCTCGGTATTAGAATCTTTTTTGCCACTGGATGGTTTGACGATTCGGTTTGAATGAATGGCCCATTCAAATTTAAAAAATAAATAACCAAAATAAAAAACTGCAAAAAAACCATTGAATGAATTAACGATTTGACTGTCCAAATTAATGAATTGCTGATCAATTCAATGGTTTTTACCCCAGAAAAGTAAAATGAAACTGATTGTTTAGACGATTTTTGGGCCAAACGGTCTAACCGTCTGAACCAACGGCAATTTGAAAACACTGCATATTAGTCTATAGAAGATAACACCAGTAACATTAGTATGGTTTTACAAACAGTTATGCACTCTGGATCTCCTACACTTAACCTTATTAAGGGACATACCGACCAATGGAAATTCTTCAAAATTCAAAGGGCGGTCTGATTGGTCGTTGATGAATTTTCATTGGTTGGTAGAAAATAAGAGAGAAATAGAAGACTGATAGAAGATTCCTAGGCTGCGTTTGGTTGCATGGAAATAAGTAAAATTATGGCAGTGCAAATAATTCTGATTTAACTTTTGTTTCAAATTTTGCCATATTTCATTTGATTGCAGTATACATGAAATGAAATAAGACATGAAACAGAGTAAAGCAAACCCAAAATAAAAGCAAACCAGAATTTGCATTCCTTTTATTTGCACTCCAATGCAATATTTATAATAGTACAAATAAAATTGAACCATAACCAAACACAACTTTAAGAAATTTTATAAATTTTGCAGCCTTAAGAAATTTAATAAAATTTGTTAAGAACTCTCTCAACTGCTCTGCTTCTCTTTTATTTTCTATCAAACCAAACACAATTTTAGTGTGTAAGATTTGAATTGCTTAATTATGTCATATGCAAACTTGGGGGACACGGAGAATCACATTTCAATTTTGCATCATGTTTTGGAAATTTGGATTCCCGTCCTGTTTCTTTCATTCTCAGTCTTGTGTAATTCGGTTTGATCTGTTGAACCAATTATTAATTATGTTTTGAATTGTTTTCTTTTGTTTTTTATTTGATCTGTTGAACCAATTATTAATTATGCTTTGAATGTTTTTTCTTTTGTTTTTTTGGTAAAAATGTGTTTTTTTATTTACAAAAATCAAAATAAAACGCGCTAGGTAAAAATCGAACTTTTGACTTTCTGTTTAAGAAATAAACGCGCTATCCACTGAACTACAGACGCTTTATACGTAATATAATTTACTCATTAACTTAAATAATATACGTTCGCTGAAAAATATATTCAAGACGAAGATAACATCATTATTTCACTAAACTATGGAGCCATTTTGGCGTGAAGCCAAAATTTTGACACACTTTGAATTGCACTTGCATTTGAAGATAGTAAAATTTTGGAATAATGGTCATTTTGATGTAAAGTCAAGGCAAAAAATTAAAAACGATGATTATATAGTAAAGATGTTTAAGTTATGTTTGGTACTTTGGTTTGAAGGAAAAGGTAGGTAAAGGAAGGGAAAGTTAGGGAAAGTCATATAAGGTTTGTAAAGGTTTTTCTACCTTTTCTTTCCTTTTCCTACCTTTTCCTTCAAACCAAACATAGTGTGGCTCTGTTTAGTTTATAATTAGAATTGGAATTGAAATCAAAGTGGTCCATTCCCATAGTCTGTTAGATCCGACAAGAATGGGAGTGATAATTGGAATCAATAGGAATTGGATTTGATTTCCGACGGTGGGTGAGGGAATGACCATTCCTTCAAAAGGGAGAATGCCATTCCATGAGGAATGAGAATGAGGTTCAGATTCTAGACTCCTATTCCTGTGAGCCAAATGGGGCCTTATCGTTAAGCACCTTGGGTGCGCCAACTCTGGGTTTCAGTCACATGGTCGCATCCCAAGGCCTAATCCTTTAGGCTTCGTTTGGTTTGTGGGAAGGTTTCAGTGGGATGGGAAAGTGTAAAAATTTACCTTTCCATTATTTGGTTTTATATATGGGAAAATAATAGGAAAACATTGTTACTAAGGAGAAGAGAGAAGAAGGTGAGGGAGAAGAGGAAGAGGAAAATGGAGGGAGAGATGGAGAACTCCATGATTGAAGATCCGAAGATGTCCTCCGGCACCGATAGCCCCCCCTCCTCCACCGGTGCTTAATCAACCACCGCAAATGGTTCTCCCTTCTTCGCACTTTCTCTGTAACAAAGGATGATCGGAGACGAATAGCCACTGTGGGGTGCTCTGTTTCACCAAGAGGAAGACGAACAATAGTGGTGCGAAGACAATGAGCAGTGCTCTAGTCACCGCCACTGTGGGGTGCTCTGGTCACCGCCGTTGCTCTTTCCTATGTTCGTTGTCGAGAAGACGATGAACAGTGTTGCGAAAAACAAAACACGTAAGGGCGGAAAGCGAAGATGTAACAATGTTGCGAAGACGATGAACAGTGCTCTAGTCACCACCATTATGGGGTGCTCTGGTCACCACCGTTGCTCTTTCCTATGTTCGTTGTCGAGAAGACGAGAATAGTGTTGCGAAAAACAAATATATATATATATATATACATATATATTTAGTATGTTGTATTTATATTAATTTATTATATATATTAGTTGAAAAATAAATAAATTTTTTATTTTTTCTAGTATTTTAGAAAAATTACAGTGGAGTCTAATTATATCTAAATCCAATCCAAGTCCGTTAGGATTCTAATTCAAATCCGTTTTTAAATCCGACTCGAGTATAATTTCTCAGCATTTGAATCGGATTCGGATTTTACTGCATTTGATCCGATTACAGTCCTAATTCCCATAGTCTGTTTGATTCAGATAGCAATTTTCTTTTTTGATAGAACCATGATGTAATACATAAGCCGGGGGTTAACACATTTCATTCCCTTAAATGACCATTTCCCAAATGAAAGAATGTCATTCCATCAGAAATGCAAATGAGATTCTGATTCCACCCAACGAAAAGTTAATTCCAACCCCTATCGATACCTAAGTATATAACCCATTGCTGAGGATTTGAAAAAGGTGTAATTGGTACAATGGTGTTGTGTTGCAGCTGTAACGTTTTGCTTATCAATACAAATTGCTATTTCTACTGAAATATAAAATTTGATGTCCTCAGACATGTTTAACAAAAGCAAATTTGACAACAGAAACCACTGCACCAAACACCATTATGTAGTAAGATGGGATGATTTTCTTATAAATGATTCTCTTTGGCATTATAATCAAACCACCACTATACCAAACACCCCGTTAACGTAGTATATTTAATTCCACAGAACTCGTTGAAGTTTATTCAGCAAGTGGTTCTTGAAGACGAGACCAAATTGAAGGGAATCCCACCAGAAGATTGCTCCAAAATCATGTTATGGCATCTCCACATACCAAGCCGCATGATACCAAATCAACGATCTTCTCTCGCCCAATCAGAAGGTACCGGTAGTAGATAGCAGAGAAAATAATGAAAAAGAACTAGTCAGATGGAATTTTAATATTTAATTAATTGTTTTTTTACTTTGTAATATTTTCTCCTATTTTGTAGAGTTCAATATTTTCGATTTTGCAACGTTTTATTGTTCTTCTTATATCTGAGATCACTCTCTTGATTTTGATATTTAGTCGATCGGCGTAACTGATCTAACCATCATAGACATTCATCATAGTTGATTATCGAGAGTCCCGGTGAAAATACAAAAAAAATTCCTCTTATTCACAACTCAACGATTAGAGAGAGAGAGAGAGAGAGAGAGAGGGAACCACAGCTTTCTCATCCTCTGTTCTAGCTATAATTAAAGCCCAGATTTCTTCGGCCGTTGTTGGCTTGTTGCTGCTGCGTATTTTCTGGGACTGCAGGTGTAGATGGGAGGATGATCGATTCTCTCTGGGCGTCGATCAGCTTCTGGAGCCTCTCTTCACTCACATCGAATGCCGTAGCTAGCTCAGGGCCGCTCATGGTGTGGAGGATGGAGCTGGCCCCCACCAGGAACTGGGGTCGGTTTTTTCGGGCCGATGTGGTGAACCCAAAGAATTCCATGGGCCCAATCATGGATGCAGTCTGGCAGAAGGGAAAGTACCTCGGCACCCAGAACACGTCGCCTTCATCTACCTCTGCGGTCATCGCAGTGGTTCCGTTCGGGAAGACAACCTCGATCAACCCAGATCCTCTTAACACAACCCCATACTCTGTCGCCGTTGGGTTGACGTGTGGCGCCATCATCGATCCCTAACATCGAATATATGGATTGCAGACGTCAGTACTGCACGACGGCGACGTACAAGTAAACCAAAGAGCACAGTTGATATCGTGCAGTGGTGTTGTTTATGGTCAATAGTAGGTGATTAACAGAAATGTTTCACCGGCGGGTAAGTAATTAGGCTAGTAATTACCGCAGTGAGGTTGACATAATAAACGCCAATGCCAGAGTGTCGGAGAGCGGAGAAATCTTCTTCGTCAACGGCAACACTCCATCCATAGTTATTCTTGAAATCAGGCTTCCTATCGTAGAGGCTGTACGAGGCAGTAGTAGACGGAACGCCTCTGTGTCTGTACTCAGATTTAAGGAGCTCCGTCCACGTTGACGTCCATCTGTCCAGGTGGTCGGCGTCCTTGACGAATATGATTGGCCCGCCTTCTTGTCCGATCAAGATATCTTCCAATTCGCTCGATGAAACCTGCGATGATGATATTATTCAGTCTTGTTAATTCTGAGTGTTCCTTTCACCTTCATATTCAAATTAGATGACGATAACTAAAGAAGGTGTGGTCTTACATTAAATGCCGCTGCAAGAGTTGTTTGATCAAACCCTCTGAGTACAGATCTGGGGTAAGATCCTCCACCAATGAAGAACGACTGCAGAGAGTAATTAAGTGTGAGCAAGACTCGAAATCACATCTCATTTCATCTATATATAGTTTTCTGTTCAAATTAAGATGAGGAAAAGGATCGATGAACCTGGAAGAGACCACTTTGGATGCTCTCGGACGTGTCAATACCGCAAATGATCTGGAGTCTCTGGTCCTTGCCGTTGTTCATCAGGTAGAATGCTGAACCAGCAGGGATTCTATAGACATCTCCCACCTTCAATTGCCCCTCCTCCAGTTGTCTACCGTGGGAGATCCGTCCGATCTTCCCTTCGCCTGCGCATTGAAGATAACATGCAAGAGTCAGGCAGAGGCAGGACAAGACACAGCGTAAGAAGAATCAGAAACCCGTGCAACCCAGCAGAGAAGACACACAGCCACACAAAGCGAGGTGGTCACCCAGTACGTACCTTCGTGAACGAAGATGATCAAATTGGAATCAATGTACTGAGGAATGAAAAAAGTGTTTGGTTCCATGGTTATGAAGCCGATGTGCATTGGGCTCTCCACACCCTTTGTTCTGAGTCCTCTGACGACTCTCATCTGGCCAGCATCAGTCTGGAAGACTTGCTTCGAATGCTGCAACAAGAATATCTCTCCTCTCCCTCTCTCTCCTCTTTCTTCTTCTCTTGCGTATCCTACGGAGAAGAACACCGGCAGTAGCAGCAACAGGAAAAACGTTGCTTTGCCTTTCATCATAGACATTCCCATTGTCTCAGTCTCAGTTTCTTTTCTCTTGGCTTACTTCTGTTGATCGAGTGGAATTAAGGCCTTGAGAGGGATGAGCTTATGAAGGGTGGGTGGGGGAGCTTGTTGTCACAAGCGTCAGTCATACGGGGTTTTAAGGGTATGCTGCTGCAACCTCCATCTCTATGTATCGACCGTTGAGATCTGGAGAGAGTTTTGATTCACTCGTGGTCGTGGATGCCTTAAGCCGAGTCAGAGTCTATTTCTCTTATTAGTTTCCATTTATTACGCAGAACCGCGCTTGTATCATCAGCTCGTTTGAGTGTTTCAAGGGGCGTTTTACAACGTGAGTTCTCTTTCTTATTGCCAATTTCAAAAGCAAATAAAAAACATCTGGTTTGAAAACTTATTATTTTTCAAAAACAAAAGCCAAAAAAAAAACGTGTTATTGGTTGTGTGTGTGTGTGTGTTTTTTTTTTTTGTTCTCAAAACTGAAAAAAAAAATTAACGCGTTCTTGAATTTTAGTATAAAAAACATGTTTTCATATGTTATTTAATATCTTGTTCTATAAGTCATAAAATTTCTACTTTTCTAAACTATGTACAAAATTTGTTTTTATTTTAAAAATCATTATTTTGATGATTCCAACAACATGTAATGTTTTTTGAGATAAAATTGACTTGTTTTTATCTTTGAAAACAAAATCATAGCCTAAGAACAATTGTTTTTTTCAAAAACAAATGAAAACAAAAAACATTCATATGGTAGAACGTCTGTGGGAGTAATTTGCTTGATCCCTTAATTGTATAAATTTGACAATGTTTTGTTGTTATGGCTCACAAATGCAAATATGTACAGTACAAATGCTTATAAAATAATATAAAATATAAGGTTTTGCAGTCTATATATTTATATTTGTACTCTTTGACTCAATTTGGAAGGAGTACAAATACAAATATATAGAGTGCAAAACCTTGTTTTTTTTATATTATTTTGTATGTATTTGCACTATACATTTTTGTACATATTTGTTTTTGTACTCTTTCTAAACCGAGCCTATAGGTTTACTGCGAGATTTTATTTTGGGTAAAAGACTTAAAACATAGCTTAATTGACTTAAATATACCCCAAGTTTTTTAAATGGACTTAAAAGAACGCCCCCTAAAAGAATTATTAGTGGAACTTCATGACCTATTCCTCCAATTAATACCATAAAATACAATGGATACGATATGCATTGGTTAATTTGTACCATTGTGTAACATTTATTTTCCAGGCTAATTGTTGACGAGTAATTTTTCAAATAAAATAGTGAAGGCCATCCTTATTATAATTCAAATAACAGAATAGGTGAATAAACAAGAAGGTTCATTTGTTAAGGCTCAATTTGGAAAGAGTATAAATATAAATATATACAGTATAAATGCATATAAAATAATACAAAATACAAGGTTTTGCACTCTACAATATATTTGCATTTGTACTCCTTCCAAACTGAGCCTAAAGGGCAAAATAGGATTTAAATGAATTTTCATATAACGTTTCATTGGTGGAAGGTATGTTTAAGTCTAGTAGGGTGATTCTACAAGGTATCTTTAAGTCTGATTTAGAAATTCAATGTATTTTTAAGTCTTTTATCTTTTTATTTAAAAATAAATAAAACTATGTTACATAAAAAGTCCCTTTGTTTTATTTAAAAGATAGTCATACACATTGTTTTCAAAACTGGGTCGGACCGAACGGTCAGACCAAAAAAACCGGAAATCAGTCAGGTGACCGGTTCCGTTTCTCCAAAAATCGGATTCCCCCCCAAAACTGTTGATTTTGGTCAGCGAACCACTGAATCGGGTGGTTAATCATTCGAACCGTTTTGACCGTTTTTTATTTTTTAATTTTTTATTATTTTTCTATTAGAATGGGCCGAGCGTTCGATTCAAACAATCGAACCATTCGACCTGATAACCGGACCCTTGACCAATTCAATCACCGAGTCGGTTTTAAAAACCATGATCATACATATAGGCAAACACCATCCCTTTTAGGGTGAAAATGTATGGAAGTTCAAATGGAATAAGTGTAAATATTGGTTTGCTTTTGCAATTTTACTTCATATTTGACTTTATTTTGTTTGTTTCTGAGGATTAAGATGGGAAATAAATAATGTGGTTCCCACTTTATATGAAAAATAATGAAGGCAGAAGAAAGGTTATTTATTTGGGAGGAGTAAACTAGAATAAATGATATGGTCCAATTAAACGTGGTGCAAATTTTACACTTAAGGTTGTGTTTGGTTGCAGTGCAATTTTATTTGCACAAGTACAAATGTATGGGAGTGCAAATGAAAAAAAAAATGCAAATTCTTGTTTAATTTTGTTTTAGGTTTTACTTTGTTCAGCTTCATGTCTTAATTTACTTTATTTGTACTACAATGAAATAAGATAAACTAAAATGTGAAACAAAAATAGGTTATAATTTACATTTAAATCATTTGCACTGCCATAATTTTGCACCAGTGCAAATTTATTTGCATTGCAACCAAACACAGCCTAAGGCTCCATTTGCAAAGGGGTCTTATTTATTTATTTATTTATTTATTTTTAGAATTCCATTTGGAAAGAGTGCAAATACATATTTGCAAATACAGCCAAAGTGCAAATACATATTTGCACTCTACAAATATACCTTCTCCGGTTCAGGTCAGTGCAAAGTGGGTTCAGATTTCCATGTCCACTTTGCATTCATCTTGTTCATTTTCAAAAGTGCAAAGTTACATACATATATATATGCTGATGTTTGGCATTTCCAATCGTTACAAAAAAAAAAAAAAAAAAAAATTATGTGCATTAAACCCAGGTCTCTCAAAGAGATTTTCTGACTGTTGTGGAGGAGATTTTCAAATTTCTAACTGATATTTCAGTGACGATTATGGAGGAGATTTTGAAATTTAATCCAGTTCCTTGTAAGTTCAACCATCTTGGTGTAGTTGCAGAAACCAACCAACCTAATCTGATACACCTGTGACCAAAATATCCAATAGTAATTTGATCCAAACTAAATCGCATTGATGATCAATCACAACAATTAATTGAATCTCTAAGTTAGAAATCGACATATTTCACTTTGCACGGGGACTAGAAGCCCTAAAAAGAGAAAAATGAGGAGGGAGAGAGGGAGCTTGAGTTGAGGTCCCTTCCACCGCAAATGCCTCATCTTGAAGGATGTTACATTTTGGCTTTTCTCCTTTGAGACTTCTGCTTATCCCTCGTTCTCTGAAATACAGAGAGTTTTTTTTTTCACTCTGATTTCAAGTTTTAATTCACAAAAGATTATACAAGTTGAGTTGAATCCTCTACCCAATACGGGAGTTCTGTAGAGAAAGAGCTCTAATCAACAATAACCTTCCATAACTTGTAAGTTGTGAGATCTCTTTTACTAGTCGGAAAGTTCAGTTTCAGTTGCCGCCGGGTTGAGATCTTGCATGTTGCAGGTAGCTGCAGTCAACGGTCGTAACTCTAATAGAAATCTATAGAAAAAAATGGGAAAGAGTACTTGTTATCCAATAAATATGATCCCCTTTAACAAACTGTGAGAATCTTAATTATTTATACTCTACAAATTTGCATTTGTACTCTTTCCAAACTGAGTCTTATGTTCAAATAGTTCAAAGCATCGGTATTATATGTATTGGTTTTCAGGGTACCATAACACTAAATAGAGCTTTTTAAGAGGTTTAAACATTAACGCCTATCTTAACATACCTATTTTGTGAGTTTATCAAACTGAAAAATAAAAAATAAGTAAATAAATAAAGGATCGGCTATTAAAAACATTGAAAACATGATATTTGCGTATCCAAATTATACATACTTTGAACCATGTCTTCAATATTTTATTTTAAATAATAAAATCCAAATATTTTAATAGAAGGATTTGTATACTCTAACTTATTCCTCATCTTATATATAAAGCTTCAATATTAAGATTAAATTAAATAAAGGATAATAGCTTTTTCTCTTTATAATTTATAAGTTAAGATTGGTATGAAAGTTAAAATAAGAATATAATATGAAGAAAATGATACTTTAGATAATTAGATAAACTTCATGTAGTCTTGTCATAATACCCAAAAATCCTAGGCTCGATCCAGATCCGATCCGATTATCTCATACTTAGATGATGTATTTATGTAATCGGATTGGATTTATATGTTACAATCTACATTCAATTGATAATTGGATCGGATTTGGCCCCATCTGATATGATTATATCATAATATCTATTGATTTTAATATATAAAATTTATATAATTATATTTATAATTATAAAAACTATATTTTATATATTATTATATATATAATGAATTCAGTATGTTATATTTACACTAATTTATTATATATAAAAATTGAAAAGTAATTAATTTTTTATTTTTGGAACTTTAAAAAGTTAAAATAGAGTCAGATTAAATCCGAATCGGTCCAAGTCTATTAGGATTCGAGTTAGAATCCAAAGTCTTCAAATCCGACCAGATTACGGATCAGATTTGGATGCAAGTTTTTAGTCCTGGATGGCAGGTCTCAAGTGGGTTGGAAACGGCCACCCTTCCACGTTACGGACTACGAAGTAACGTCTCTTCTAGGACAGGACTTTGTTGGGGAGCTCGAGTAACAACTTGTACCCGGGGCGAGGAGACATGTAATAACTACGTCTGTGCTCAGGTAGAACACAGGCAGAATTCTTTTTTATGGAAAGGATCAAGGAAAAAATGGCAAAGTCAAGAGGTCGGTTATAGTCATGAAAAAGGCAGATGGTACCTACAAATGTTGTGAATGGAGTTCGAGTGGAGCTGGTCTATGGCGATGTCAAAGAATTTGACGATCTCGACTATGAAAGGGTGGAGTGGAAGACATAGGCCAACTACGAGCTGTTCCTCGAAGACCATAATCTCATCGTGACCATGATCCCAAGGAAAAATTGCCTAAGGGGATACTATAAACGAAGTCGTTGGGAAGTTTATATCAATCTACTAAGGATAGGAGCCTATTCGCTGTCATTGTAGACAAACCGAAGCTGTCTGGCAGGCGACCTCGGTGTAAGGAGGAGGCCGATTTGCTAGAAGCTTCTCGCTCTCGCCGAGGTGAGTCTGCCTCGGACGAATTGGGGTCCTCATCTTATGCCGAAGTGCCCATCTTGGCAGGATAAGGCTCCGCGGACTGTGTCAACGTACCCACTTCGGCCCCAGCGGACTCATCGCTCCCATGTACAAGGCTATCTAAACTAAGGCCAGACATAATGAATAAAAAGGGAACGGTCGAAACTCGAAGTACCCCGAATACAAAACGCGAGCTGAAGAACGGATGCGTGACCTCAACCCTTGGATGCACTTT